GAGGCAAAAAAATACAAAAAAGAAAAAAAAAAAAGGAGTGGCCGCGGCCCCTCCCCCCGCGCGCCCCTCCCCCCTCCTTTGTCTGCCGCCGCTGCGGGGTGGGGGGAGCGCGCGGCGGGCAGGGGCGGCTCTTAAAGGGGCCGCGCGCGGGCGGGCCCCCCCTCCCCGCCTCACCTTGGCGCCGATCTGGTTGCCGCACTGGCCGGCCTGGATGTGCACGATCTCCCTCATGGTGGCGGCGGGGGGAACGGGGGGGGGCGCTCCGCGCGGCTCCCGGTGTCGCTTCCTCGGTTCTTCCCACCCCTGGGGGGGCGGTTTCGGTACCAGCGGCTGAGGCGGCGCGGCCCCTTTAAGACGCGAGGGCGGCGGCGGGCGGTCAATGCGGCAGCCGCTCCCCGCGCGGCGCCTCTTATAGACGCGCTCTCTGGGCGGCGCCGCCGCGAGGCGGGCGCTCATTGGGTGGCGCCGCGGGCAGCCCGCGCGCTCATTGGCCGGCGCCCCGCCCCCTCCCCGGCACGCCGCCTCCCATTGGCCCGCCCAGCGCGCGGCGCCGCGGGGCATCACGGGAAGCGTAGGCCCGGCGGGGGCGGAGGCAGCCAGGAGACCAACAATGGCGGCCCGGACGCCTGGGCCCTTCTGGCCGCTTCCGCTCGCCCCGGAGGGGCCCAGGCGTCCGGGAGGGCCCCGGTTCCCCCCCCTCCCCTCCGGGTCCCATTGGCGCCCGCTCTAATTATGTCGCGGCGCTAATTACGGCCCGGCGCTAATTGCAGCGCGGCGCCATGTTTCGGAGGACCGCGCGCCATGTTTCGGAGGACCGCTAGGGCGGGGCGGCCTGGGCCCCGCCGCGGCTGCAGGGCGGCGCTATGGCCGCTCCTCTCTATGGTGTTGCCCGCCGACACCTGACGGGCGGGAGCAGTGACCAATGGGAGCGCGGGACCCCGCGGCGGGAGCCAATGGGAGCCCGCCGGGGGGGCGGGGCGGGCGACGGCGCGCGCCGAGCCGGGGCGCGCGACGCTTAAAGGCGCCGCGCGCCCGGGGGGGAGTTTGGGGCGATTCCGGGGGGATTCGGGGCATTTTGGGCGGGATCCGGGTGATTTGGGGGGCCCTTTCTCCCCCCGGTCATGGAGAGGCCCCTGCGGGGCCTCCGCCCCCTCTGGCCAGGTAGGCCCGGACAACGGG